AAAAAACGCCAAAACTAAGAAAAGTTTAAAAAAAAAAAAAAAAAACCAGGAAAAAACATTGGAGGCCTTACAGCCATACCTCTTGCACTCGGAGTAGCAAATGACAACGGAAGTTGACTTTCCTTTAACTTTACAGCTTGTGGGTTCCTTTTTACATCAGCTGGTTTGGTTTGGTTTTTTCTTTCTTCGAAAAGAAAAGGTACCGGGAAAGAGAAGCGGAAAAGGTTTTGTCAGTTTGTGGATTTTCTGAGCTGTCTTTGCATCCCAGGAGTGAACTTGGGCCAAGAGACAAAACCTGAACTGGGAAGTGTGGGAAGTTGGGGATGGGGGAGCTGGGTGGGGGGGCAATATCCCTTACACCCACTCTTTGGGGGTTCTCAATACAGGTTCTCCTGTCCAGTGTTAGGGGGTGCTGAGAGGAATCCCTCCTCATTTCAGAGTATTGCCTTTCCTACCCTCTAACAAATATCCATAGTCTCATCATCTCTTACCCACAAAAAAAAAAAAAAAAAAAAAAAAAAAATCAAAGACTTGGCATAAAAAAAAAAAAAAAAAAAAAAAAGCTAAAGTCAAAAAAAAAAAAAAAAAAAAAAAAAAGAAAGTTGGAGGCTGCCTGACTGGATGAAGCATCCTGGAGCCGATTAACTGAGGAAGGCAACTTCCAGGCTCTGAACAGCGCAAACACTCCTGGGCCCTCTCTGCAAGGGGCAGAGTGTGACATGTGGCAGGTCTATTCCCTCAAAAGGGCTCCTTAGCTCGGCAGCGCGGGGCCGGTCGGCTTCTCGGATTCCTGGGAACACAATTATTTACTTATTATTCTCTTAACGACATCCTGCCCCGAGAGAGAAGGATTAGATGGGACCGAGGGCAGCTGGGCTGGGACGAAGGGAGCACGGTTTAACACACACGAGGTCGGCGCTGTCGCAATGTGAAAATGCGTTCTGAGGCTCCTGCCAGCTTTGAGGGAGCCCTGCTTGATGGGGACCGTCCCCTCCGAGAGGACTCCAAGGCTCTCGCAGAGCCCGTTTCTCAGCAGCCGCTCTGCACAGAGCCGCCGCCTCTCCCTCCCCCAGCCCGGCTATTTTTGCTGAATTAAGAAGGTGACATTATTCTTCTTTTCAAGTACTTCTGTTAATATTGAAAAACGTGTGCTTGCATTTCAAGCGCGCGCGCTCAGCCTCAGCGGCCATTTCAATATTAATGAAATTGTTTAATCTCCTAAATTCATCGTGTTTAAGTTACGTTTTGGTGAGTTATTGACCGACTCCGAAAAATATTGTTAATGGAGTTGATGTGTATTCACCACAAAGGCTCTTCCTTCCTCCCCGGGCTCGCAGCTCCCCAGACAATCTTCGGTTCTGGCTCTAGGGTGACAGGATGCACGGCAGCCTCGGGAATACACATCATACAAACTTCCCTCCTGTGCCAGGGCAAGCCCGGGACCTTCCGGGCCTGATCCTCCCCCCAGGACACACGGCTGGCAGCGGGCTGCTCGTCTGGGCTGCGGTTCCAGGATCGGGCCTTGGTTCGCGGGGAGGAGGCAGTACCGTGCACCAGAGAGCCGCAGCTCGGCGTTACACGTCCCGCCTGCTCCCACACACAGCACTGGGCACCGAGAAGCACGCAGGCAAGAGAACAGTCCGACACACATCACGCAAACCCCGCAGAAGGCGTCAAGATGACGATGTTTAGCAGAGTGACCGCTACACGGACCCAGGAGCCCACACCAGCTCTTCGGGACCCCCCGGGCTCGAGGCCGGCCGGATACTCCCCGGTCCCGCGAGCAGAGCAGCGGTGTGAGGGCAGCTCGTTACCGAGCACACCGGGACCGTATGGCCGGTCACGAGCCCGTTCGCTTTGGTCTATTGAGAGCAACTCGCGCGTCTTTACACCAACAGGTCCGCGGAACTAGAGCAGCGGTCCTGCAAGGGCTGGGCCGGGGTGCGAGGGGAGGGAGGGGGACGGGACGGGACTGACTTTCCAGGGCGGCTACCGAGGAGCCCCGATCTTACCGCTCCTCGAAAAAACCTTCCCTCGGGGAGAGCGGATTTGGCAAGGAGAAAGTCCCTCCTTACAGGGGAAAAGGCTCGCCTTAAGTTAGCCAACAATACAAATCAGATAACAATGCAGAACAAACAGAATACCACAGCCAAGCAATTTCCATGTCAAACATCCCACTGCTCAGTACCTCCATTTGTAAGTGTGAATTGCAGACTAAGCTTCCTGCAAAGTCCACATAGAGGTTAGTGCATACCTTCCCCCCACCCCCAACCACCGGGTACCATCGCACTGCAATTCCGCTGGCGGAGCCTTTTCACCCCTCGCCTTGTCTTCAAATGGAAATGATTCCCATTGGCCCAAGGTGTCCATGTAAATAGGTGTAAATGAAACCAGATTATGCCTTTCTCTCCAGCCCCCTCCTCCCTGCTCCCCTCCCCCTGCTCCCAAGGCGATTGTCATATGATAGCAAAGAAGTGGCACATTAATGAAGCGCCTCTACAGGGGTCTTTTCTGCTCATGTCACCACATAAAACTATCAGATGGTTAGAGGAAGGACATGGAGGCAACTAGTTAGCTCATCGCTGCTGCAGAGAAGCAAACAAGCCTCTGCTACAGTGCAGCTGCCGGTGGTGTAAAAGAAGCTGATTCAGCCCGCGGAGGCGAAGGGAGGGGTGTACAGGAGGATTCCCAAAACCAAGCCAGCTCGCTGCCTCCTCAGGACTAAACCGGAGCAGCGTGGCCGCGGAAGGAGCGAGAGACACGCCGGAGGAGAGAGGTGGGAAAGAGTCCGGACTCCCAGCTGCGTCCCGGATGCGGACTGTCAACTTCCAGCAACTTTAAGGTGGGCACATGCAAGGGCTGCCATGGAGTTGGGTTGGGAGTTGAGGGGAGGAGATGGGGTCCCCTTCATCCTCGCAGAGACCAGAAGACAGAGCTATCACTAGAGTAACTTCACGGACGCGGGCTCCTGCGGGAAGGCCAGGCTGAGGGAGGCCAGAGCTTGGAGAAGCACATCGCTTTTCCCCCTGCGGCAGCACAGGGCTCTGGGCTGTTTTCTTCTGCCCTCATCTGCGCCCCACTCCACCCCCCACACGCCCCGCGTCCCCCATATCGAGGGCTTCGTGCCCCTTCCCTGTGCCCTTCTTTCTCCAGCCCGGCCCCAGAGCCACCGGCTGACCCGACCGGGTGTCCGTGCAAATCCTCTCGGACTCACCCCTCTACCCCCTCCTCCCTCCCCCCTCCCCTTGTCGCTGCCCTTCTGCAGATCTCCGCGGGTCGCCGAGCGAAGATGCCTCGCCCGGGCAGAAACACTTACAGTGATCAGAAGCCTCCCTACTCCTACATCTCGCTGACCGCCATGGCGATCCAGAGCTCCCCGGAGAAGATGCTGCCCCTGAGTGAGATCTACAAGTTCATCATGGACCGCTTCCCCTACTACCGGGAGAACACACAGCGCTGGCAGAACTCCCTCCGCCACAACCTCTCCTTCAACGACTGCTTCATTAAGATCCCGCGCCGCCCCGACCAGCCGGGCAAGGGCAGCTTCTGGGCGCTGCACCCCAGCTGCGGGGACATGTTCGAGAACGGCAGCTTCCTGCGCCGCCGCAAGCGCTTCAAGGTGGTCAAGTCGGACCACCTGGCCCCCAGCAAGCCGGCGGACGCGGCGCAGTACCTGCAGCAGCAAGCGAAGCTGCGGCTCAGCGCCCTTGCGGCCACCGGCACCCACCTGCCCCAGATGTCCACGTACAATCTCGGCGTGTCCCAGCCCTCCAGCTTCAAGCACCCCTTCGCCATCGAGAACATCATCGCCAGAGAGTACAAGATGCCCGGGGGCCTCGCCTTTTCCACGATGCAGCCCATGCCGGCCGCCTACCCCCTCCCCAATCAATTGACTACGGTGGGCAGCTCCATTGGCACGGGCTGGCCCCACATGTACAGCTCCGGCATGATCGACACCGCCACCCCCATCTCCATGGCCAGCAGCGAGTACGGCGCCTACGGCGTGCCCATCAAACCGCTCTGCCATGGGGGGCAGACTTTGCCGGCCATCCCCGTCCCCATCAAGCCTACCCCTGCCGCGGTGCCAGCCCTGCCCGCCCTGCCCGCGCCTATCCCCACCATCCTCTCGAACTCGCCGCCCTCCCTCAGCCCCACGTCCTCGCAGACGGCCACCAGCCAAAGCAGCCCGGCCACCCCCAGCGAGACTCTCACCAGCCCGGCGCCCGCCCTGCACTCCGTGGCTGTGCACTGACCCGGGCCGCTTGTACGGACGCTGCCTTCCCCTTTCTCCCAAAGTTTCCTCGGAGCTCTCCTCCCTCCCCTTCTCTCCCTCCTTTCGCTTCTTTCCTCTCTACTCTTTTCCTCGAAAGCAGAGACAACTCCCCGCGGAAAGCTGAGTTCTGCCGTTCGCGTGAGCTCCCTTTCCGCTTCGCCCCTTCAGGCGAGCCTTCCCTCACGGCCCGGTTTCTCCCCTGGTTCTGAACTTTAGTTTTCCGTTCTTCTGAGGCGAAAGGAACCGGCCCGGCCCGCCCCCTCCCGCCCGGTAGGAGCTGCCACTTGCATTGCTAGTTTTCCAAAAGTACTTCAGGCATCTTCGATTTATCGGCGACCAGGCAAGCCTGGCTCGGCGATGCCTCTTTCCCTTCTTTTGTCTGGGCTTTATACAGGACCAATCTTTAGTACCACAAACAAGGATGGCTGCTGTGTCACTGCATGAGAGCAGCGACGTTTCCAGCCTCCAAGCAGCAAAGGCTTGGATCTTGGAAACGCCGGGAAGCGCTCGGTGTCCTTTGTGTGGGTGCGTGTCCCGTGGCGCCGCCAAGGGCAGCGTTCCGGCGGGGGAGGGCCGCGTCCCGGGGCCGAGGCGGTCCCGGGGCCGAGGCGGCCCGAGCAGAGCGGGGCCGCGGCCCGCAGGTGAGGGAGCGGCGGCGCGGAGCGGGCCGGAACCGCGCCGGGCCGCTCACGCCACCCCTCTAATGTTTACAAAGCGCCTGTGTTAATGTAAATACTGAACTTGCATCTGTACTGTAAATCAGATGAGGTCCCTTTTGCAGTACCTGTTGTAACGTGGATGTTTACTGTAGTTTTCAGGTGAACGAGAAGGAGGAGTTGACTTGTCTGTTAACTTCTGTTTAACCCGAGGGTTTGGGGAGCTGAGGTTTTCTTTGTTGTTGTTTTTTTGGGTTGTTGTAATTTTTAAATTTTTGTAGCTATTTACTTCATAGCTTAAAACCAAACAACAACCATAATTATAATAAAAATAAACCTGTTACCAATCACACAACCCGACACAGCTTAAAGAAAAGCTGTTGAAGTCACTGATAAATTGTGGAAAAGTAATACAATAGCAGGTACAAACTCTGGAGGTCGTCCTGATTTCTGCTGGAGCTTTGCAGAGGGGGCTAGGGAAACTGTAAATGTTTGTGCATATGAATGATTATAAAATGTGTAAAATGCACTTTTGTTTGATATACTCCTTTCTAGTTTTAGGTAGTTTGCTGGAAACTGAACTGTTGTTCTGTTGTGAACTGCTTAAGTTAAGAGAAAAAAAGAACACGCCCTCTAAACAGCATTAGTGTCTATTGAAACTGTAAAGGTATTTCTTTTAAATTTTTTTTTTTTCCTGTACAGCGTAAGCATGGCATTTTAAATATTGTTGTTCTTGTTCCCAGCATGTGTGTTTTAAGACAAAGGTTAAAAAGTGTCTACGTTAAATTATGAACCTAGTCGTCCAAATAATATTTTCTCATTAAAATATGTAAATTCAGATTTAGTTTCTTATTTGTCTCTTTAAAGAGTTTACATGAAAAAAGTAAAAATACTAGTTCATGATGATGCAATGGTGTTATTCCAATATTTAGATAATCTAAACAGCGTTTTCATGCAAGGTTACTATAAATATAGTTATTAATACAGCACAACTTCTTAGATAGAATTGTCATTATCGCTGGTTCAGCAAAGGGAGAACATGTTCTGTAGGGTTGATGTCAATATATCTCTACATCTGTGCATACACACATCTGCATTTGTGCCCTATACGCTTAGACCCAATATAAACACATATTACATTCATGCCTGTGTGTATGTATACTCATCACCTACTTCCTCCCAGCTGCATTTTCTCTAAAAATTGTAAAAATTAGTAAGTTTCTGCAATACAGAGCAAACATAAAATCTTCGAAGAATTAGATACTTCTTTTGGGGCTGAGAACACTGAATATGTTTCAGTGGTGTTTTTTTTACAAGTGGCATAGCAAAATCTTTTTTTGCATTAAAGTGAGTTATTGCAGCCTTTTACCTGGCATTTAAACCTGCTGAAGCACAAGTTAGTCCAACCACTGCTAGAATTTCTCCATCCTTACTGACCAACACTTTCCCAAACCGGTAATTTGCAAAGTGTAACACAATTGTACCAGTTATTCTGTAATTCAATACACAACCCCTTTTAAAAAGTAAGATAAAGTAGTTACAATGAAAACTGGATTCTGGACACTTTCTAGTAGGATTCCCCAAATCTGCTAGGGATTTTACAAGGATTCTGCAACTGTTGAAAATGAGAGAAGACATCTAGTGAAATGAGTAAATAAATGCTTTGGAGATGAGGCGTTCTGCGAGCACAGTTACAAGACAACGGAAGCACTAACTAGCAAGAAAACGACATTGTATTCCAATGAAGCGGCGGGATTCACGAGTTCTACGGCAATGATGTTACAGAGGTTTGTCTTCGACTGATCTCTCCGAATTTCAGGACCATAAACACGGTAAGTGACATCCCCATTTCCTTACTACACATCACAAGATTCTTGCAAAAGTTTTAAGATTAATGTAGAGGGCAATTAATCCAGTTGTGACCATTAAAAAAACAAAAAACCAAAACAAAACAAAAAAAACCAAAACGGATCCCACACACAGAAAAAAGGTGGAAAATACATGAATCATTGGGCTGATTAAAATGCATGAAGCTGCTAAAGCTTGTCGGATGGGGGACAACTGAACTCATTCATCAAGTCTAACCCACGATTATATTAACACGATCAGTTAAAGAAAGCATTCAAAACTTATCACCAGATCAATGGACGCATAACTCGACAAACTTTTCCTAAACAAGCGATGACCTACATTTTTAGACAACGAGGAAGCTTTTCCTCCTTCCCTTTTTTTCTTTAAAGATCTAGCAGTCAGAACAAATCCTCAAAGATTAAATCCGAGCCCGACTAACAAGATGAAGCTGCACTTTCAGAGTCTTTTTTTTTTTATTATTAAACTATACCGTAACGTCGGAGATAAAGATCTGAAACGATTATACCCCAAAGCTAAATGCTTTCAAAAGGTGCAATAGGTTTCTCGCTGCATAATGCGAGTGTGCGTCTCGGCACCGTACATTTCAAGTGCCATTTTCCCCTTTATCTCTGCGGTTGCCCGAGACTGCCCCAGCCCGGGGAACCCCCGGTCTCCGCGCCCTCTCCCTGCCGCGGCCCCAGCGTGCAGCCCGCGGAGCCGCCGCGCTCCTCCGCGCATCTCCGCCCGCTTCCCCAAATGTTGTGATGCCGATTTCAAACAAATACGCAGCTCAGCGCGTCGCTTGAATTTACTGCTGTGACTTGTTAAATCTCCCTAATGGCTCAAGTCCAATGTCAATAAACACTGATCTGAAATAGAGCAGCAACAGACAACAGCGCGGAGGGCAGAGGCGGATGGGGGGGTGGTGGGGGGCGAGGGCCGAGCCCTCTGTCCTGTTTAGACATTTCGTGGGGGGTCGGGGGGGATTATTTTTTTTTTCTTTTTTAAATTTTATTTGCCAGTCAGACATTATAAGCTAGGCGTACTTAATGCAAAGATACTGTTCATTTCAGGCAAAAGCTCTTTTCTTCCGGAGGATGGGTTGGAGCCCGGCTGTGCAAGGTAA